TGTAAATACATTACTATGCTCAACCTGCATCCAACAATCAATGCATGTAGTTTGGTCGCAGGAGTTAACACATTAAACGATAGTTGATAAACTAAATTGGTCATTAGAAATAATCTTATTTAATTTAAGATATTTGCTTAGTCTAACTTTGAAACATTTCTCAAGGGCCTTATATAATGATAAATTAAGGGATATTGGACAATAGGTATTAACGTCTGCCCTTGAACCTGATTTATACGATGGTACAATGACGGATTTTTTTTTTATAATGCCGGATATATTCCAGTTGACAAGCTCAAGTAGAAAATGTGGGATAGAGGTTCCGCAATCAAAGTGTGTAAAAAAGAATTTTCGTCTTTGAGCGAATCGATCAAATTTTTGATTTCGACGGAGATGATGGCATCAAAATTTGTTAATTAGATAACGATTAACGACCACCACCATAGATCACATCCTGAATTATGATCTTGCCCTTGAAATGTGTTTTTTATCTTTTCATGCCTTCGCCAATGTTTGCAAAAAAGGAGTTGAAAATTTCTGGCACTTCATCCGTAGTTTGTATATCTTTTATTGTGTATGCCAGGAATGTTCTTGTTGAATCTTTTTCTCTCTTGGTAAGTCGTTGGTTGTGTAAGCGGGCGAGACGGTGCAAAGGCCGAACAATCTCTCTATACACGATTGCTTTTCTCTGAGCGATAAAAGAGTAGTCGGGGTAAGCGCTTCGCTACTTATTCTTGTGTAGGGGAAGGTGAGGTTCTAGATTTCAACAAACCAGTGAGTTTGGACGAAGAACTCAAACCATTCAGTCAAAGTCTCACATGAGCTCTCTATGTTTCCGACTGAGGCTCGCAATGTCATTGATACAAAGAGGTTCTTTAGGAAAATGGCCTTATCACACGTTTAGATTCCTAAGATAGAAGGGACTCACCTCCACTCACTTGGGGGTTGTGGTTAATCCCGTGAGGTTTGATGTAGAAAACCAAATCCACAGACTAATTATACAGACAATTAGACAGGTTAATATCCATATACCTAACCGTAATGCCGCACAGAAAAGGACACCAAAAAATGGGCTGAAATGCATCAAACTGTTTCCCTCCGCGCTCGCTAGGTAGAGAAAAATACTTTATTTCCCTGAGTGTAGGGGCCCCGCTAGCGTCGAAACTACCGGACCACTTCGGCTGCGGTTTCGTATAAAGTGGAATTTCTAAACATCCCCTAGAAAGAACCTGCCTTCGGTAAAGGAAGCCTATAAAGGCACCACCGAACAGCAGGCTCTGCTCTAAGTACCCGCCAGGGGCCTCACCTACGGCCAACGACGTTTCCATTCCCACATAGCATGTTACTGTTTTGGAATTTGAAACCCTGTGCTATCCCGTCGTTTTGTTGGTGATGCACTCTCCCCCGTCTGTACAGATAGGATCTGGTTGGTTGCCTAACCCCCGTGTGCCACTGATCTGCCTGGCTCAGCCACAAGCCAACAACTCCCTGTAGGCATAGTTCTCGCATCCTCGAATGCTAAACGCTTCCTTCGTCCGATCTTCCGTATGCACGAGGAGGGTGCTTACGGAGATCATGCGCGCCAAGAAACACGAATACAGCTTGTGTTTTAGAGAGTGCGTTACGCTCTCAAGGCTACACCATTATTTTTTTGCCAGGAAACCCCCCTTCCAACCAACTCATCTCAGGGAGTGAGCAATCGACACAGGAGTCGATCCGGAAGAGAAGCAGTCACGCTCCGCCTAGAACTCGACGAGAGTACTCCGCCAGCAAGGTCCATCGAGGACCAGCCATTGCGACTCATCAGATCAAGTCGAGAGAACGAAGAGGCGCTATGATGCTGTGGACGGTAATCGTAGCGAGCATCGTTTGGGGTATGTCCCTTTCTTAATACATTCAACGCAGATTTAGATTTGTGACTGACTTGTCCGGTTATTTAAGATTTTTTGTTGGTTTATGTACATTTAAAAACGGAATTGTATTAAAATAAATTTTTGAAAATAAACACTGATTTACTGCATTCTAGAACCTCACATTTCCCTACAGAAAAATAAGTAGCGAAGCGCTTACCCCGACTACTCTCTTATCGCTTAGAGAAAAGCAAGCCAACATAGTGAGATTGTCCGATTGTTGCGCCCTCAGCCAACATAGTGATATTGTTCGACTGTTGCGCCCTCAGCCAACTTAGTGAGATTGTCCGATTGTTGCGCCCTCAGCCAACATAGTGAGATTGTTCGACTGTTGCGCCCTCAGCCAACATAGTGATAGTGTTCGGCCGTCACGCCCTCAGCCAACATAGTGAGATTCGTCCGCTTACAATTGCCTTTTGGATTAATCCCCACAGTTTTTATTTTTTAATTTTCTTATATCATGTTTTAGTAATGTTAGTTGGGATTTAAAATAACTTTCTTTGGCAATTTTTATGCTATAATTCAATTTATTACCAAATATGCTATAAAAAAAACTTTATTGTAATTTGTGAGTTTTATAAGAAGTTATATAATTTAGAGCTTCTATTTCTTACCTGCATTTGTGTGAACACTATTATTTATTTTTTTGTCCGACAGTTTTTTGGAAAATAAACTGTATATGTAACCCAGATATTTTCCCTTTTTCTATGTCAGGCGCGTTTAGGTATTTCGTCATTTTTAATGATCAGTGTGTTAATTTGTCAACGGAAACACGTCTGACAGATAAAACCAAAGGGAATAGGCGGACCAAGATAATCCAAGAATATCAAGTCTTCCCATGTTATATACGAAAGTAAAAAGAAAAAATTTGACTATCAAAGTTCTAACTGTGAATGAATTACAAAAGGAAGAAAAGGAGACAAAAGAGCGCAGATTTAAGCACTTCATCATCAATTAACTTCACTCACTAATGAGAAATTGAATGTTTCCAGGGAGCGTAACTCCGGAAGACGTTATAAGTCAGAGTCAATTTTGAGAATTTATACTTTAATGCCGCGGAGCGGGACTTGTTACAATAAATAATCAATTATGATAATTCTCCTACCTGGGGCGCAGGTGGTTGACAGCGTTAAGAGATGCCGCACTCTGAGGGAGGAAAAAAGTCAGATAACAGACTCTCGGCTTTTTATGCTGTTTTCTCCTTTTTTACTCGGCATTTCTTGTTTATTTGTCCCCCGTCTCTTATATAGATAAGGAAACGTTTCTATTAGAGAGCAGGCGATGGCTCTAATGACGGACCCCTCGAAGGAGAGAGTGAGAGAGAAAGAGAGAGAAAGAAAAAAAAACACTCCTTATCGTGGATTTTCACTTAGGCCGAAAATGGAATTATTACGAATTATGAAAGTTAATATTCTAGAAATAGAAAGAAATGTTTAAAAAGGCGCGTCAAAACCTTAAAAAACCATATTTAAGACAAAACATATATTATATGTTATATATATTGTACAAATTTGGATGAACAACGAACTTACCTTCGAAGTCAGTCTAATTCTTGATGCAGCACCTTCACAATTTGCATATAAACCGTTGAATATGCATAAAAAATTAAAACATGCACATCCTTTTTTTTGTTACAAATTGGTAATAATTGCTATATGTATACTGAATACTAATTTATTTGCTAATATTCTAATTTTGTATCACATGTAATAAAAATATATGTAAATGAATAACCAATGTATTTATGGGATGGTTTTGGAAGCTGAGAGAACCTAAAGGCTCGAGCTGAAACACCTTAAAGGCTCTTTCAGACGAGGTGATGTGGTTGATTCAATAAGGTACATGGATGACTCTCAAGCACTGCCGTGTGAATGTTTTTCTTGGCTGGTTTCACGCCAGGCAATTGTTGAATCAACTTCTGTTCCCGACTGGAGGTCAGTACGAGGAAGGCTAGGAAGCAGGAGCACTTCTTGTGCTTGCTCTTCTGCAACCCCCAAGAGAAACAAAGGAAAAGGAAACCTAGTCGAGGAAAGTGTGGATTTGGCGAAAGAATTAGACTTTTTCAAAATTACGCCATATTCAGTTGGGGAGGGGTTCATCATACACTACATACAACGTCCAGAACCTTCAGCGATGGGAAGAAAACGCATCCGCCAAACCAGATCAGTGAGGATAGGCAATTGCAAACTACTAGCTTATCACCTCGCAAACCGCATAAAGAAATCTTACAATCATATTTTAATTAACATAAAAATAAAATCCATTATGTTTAATGGTCTGATTGACCAAATTACTTCTTACCATTAATTATTCTTTCTAATGAAAAAGTTAGTGTCACGAACGGGATTCGAGAAACAAAATGGCCAAAAGGAGGGAAAATTCGAAAGGTTGGGTGAAAGGTGGCTTGAAGTCACGATAGCTGAAGTGCCGTAGTGCACTCTTGAAAATGCCTGAAGAAGAGAAGCGGCGTATTGAGCCGAAGGTCGTTGGTTCGAATCCCGCTCTTGACACTAACTTTTCTTTTCAACGAAGACCTTACATAAAAAGAATAATTAATTATAAAAATTAAACATTACTTCAAAAACTAAGTTAAGCACCAACATTCCGCGTGGTTTAATATTATTATCATTATAACAAAATTGCGCCATATATTTTTGCTTGTTAAAAAGCACTCTAGACAATAATTCTTCATAATGGTAATAAAAAGATTTTATTATTAAAAAATTAAGACATCATTTATAGCATCGGTTTAGCCTTTGACCCAGCTTTCATCATTGTATGGTAGAGGACCCGGTTTCGAACCCAGCTTTTTTCAAAAACATTGGCACCCCTAGGGTAGATACGACCTCTACTGTAGCGAACCCTCGTAAAAAAATAATGATATGTTTGTACCCGAGCTTGTCTCGTTGTAAAGAAATAGTACTACTATATATTGATCTGATTTAACTACTTACCTACATTCACACCTACTTGCATGAGCTTGATTGTGTACGTAAGATGTAGCATGTAAGATAAGTCCTTTTAACCACTAATCTACTTTTAAAGGCTATTACAGTAATGTAAACTTGTAAAAACTAATAAACTACTTACGTGTGGAATGTGTAGTTAAACAGTTTTGAGCAGGACCTGAAACAAGAGGAGAATGTGAGACAAGTCGTAAATACACCTCTCACGTGTAGTCGGAGCTATTAAAGTTGTTTGAAAAGTGAATAGGGGGATATATATCAATTAGCCAGGTGGAAAAGGTGGGATTGTCATTTTAGCCACCTAGGTAGACGTTAATCGCCAGTTTGTCTTTCACCACATCGCGGACATGATGATTGTTGACTGTAATGTAGCCCGATGGACCTTTATAAGGGATCCCCCTTCTAAGTCTAAAAGGGACGTGAAAAGTACTTGAACAAACTAAAAGCATTTTCCGAAGGGAATGTTTTGTATGGTGTGTATCGTAAGTTTAAAATGTAAGATTTAATCTTTCAATTAATTAAGGTTTTTAGTTGAGATAAAAAAGTCAGTGTCACGAGCGGGACTCGAACCCACGACCCTCGGCTCAATACGCTGCTGCTCTACAACTTGAGCCATCGTGACTTCGATCCTCTCGGACACTAACTTCCCATCTCAACCCAACTTTTTTTAATTTTCCCTCCTTTTTTGCCATTTTTCGTTCTCCTCGTTTTTATCTCAACTGAAAACCTTAATTAATTGAAAGATATTAATTGGTCAAGCGGCCCAAATTTAACTAGTGAATTTAGTAAGATTTAATATTTTACAAATTCAAACAGTGTCCATCAATGGTGTTTTTGAAACATTGGTTCTTTACAAACCAACTTGTAAAAATATCAACATACTTGTTTAAATGCTTATCAAGACTTTGCTAGTAACAATTAAGTAAATAGATATTATTTACGTGTGGTATTCTAGGATTCAAATCATTCTTTATTTATTCTCAGACATGTTAGGCTCGTTAAATCTGTTTTACTTCAAACGCCGTCAAACTTCTGTGAAGAAGCTGGATATTTTATGATTCGTTCGTAAAATATGTATCTTAAATCCAAAATATGGCCTTTCCAAGTTATGAAAAACTGATATAATTGAAAATAAACACAATGAATCGTAAGAAAAGAATCGCTTGGAGGGAGGAGGGGTTGAAACGTAAATAGAAATAACACCACATTGATGTGAAATAGACATGAGGACGACATGATTAAGTTATCGGTCATCCAACAAACCATCTGCAACCAATTAAAAAAGTACTGGAAAGATGAAAACTATCAGTGATAAGAATTATTATTGCACGGGAGTCCTCGGGATGAATCCGAAGATCTAACTGAAAAACTTAGGTATATGCGCTATATTTTCCAGTCTGAAATCATATCCACTGTACACTGCGACAGGGAAATAAAAGGGCTAGGAAGACATTCCACGAAGATAGTCATTTTTCCGACAGTGCGCATTGTCATGCATAAAAATAAAACCGTCGCCAATTAATGGCGTATAACGAACAACCTGTGAAAACACATTTTCAATGACCCAGTTGTTGGCGAACCCTAGATGAAGATCAAGTTTGTGCGACCATCCACAGAAATAGCACCACCACCAACGTAGCTTCTCCGGAATGAAAATGTTGCGGGGATATGTCGCTCCTCTATTTTATTTTATAACTTTGTGTTGTAAAGGTTATTTTGCCCCCACTGGCACCTTTACATGCAACCCCTCCCACGGCCGTCAAAAGACCTCAAACAAAACCTGCACTCATCCGAAAAGAAGATTTTATGTGATTTCTTGCGAAACTTAATCGAGCTGTTCTTGCCCTTGCAAGAAGTTCTGAAATCACGTAATCCAGCTTATGAAAGTCTTCGTAAACAGACATTAACTAATGTCTCAAGGGAGCACTCTCAACACGACACGCAAGAATGGCACAATTACACAGAAGACAAACACTTTGAGCCCTGAAGATGATCTCAATAAAGATCGAAACGTTGCCACGATAAAGAAAATGTTTTTCTGAAACCTACATCACACCAGACCGCATCTCACGATTTCTGAATAATTATCGATTAACAGTCACTAATCACCACACAGACATTAATTAACATTTAACTTGTTGAAGTTGTTGCTTGATCTCAACAGTGGTACAATGTCGATTACGAAGTACATTCGAAATAATAAAACGATAATATCTCAGAAATGAGTATCTTACATCCAGTATCTTGGTAGCGATGTAAGACCCTTCGGACAGTTGTTCTTGGGATGTTAAGCACCCTGGCCACATACGCTAGACTTCTCACATCTTCCAACAATTCTATGATTGTAGTTGAATCTGTATCACTTAAGCTGGGCGCACACTAGGGCGGTGCGGCGCAGAATTGTGAAGGTCCGTGTAGGACTGCTCTCGGCCGCGTTGGTCGAATTTTCCTCCTCCAACGTACTAGCGCTGCCGTTTAGTGTTGATTTTGCATTTCCAGGAGTCCCCACGTCACAATCGTTGGCTTCGTCTACTAATATGGCGTCCGAGGGTAGCCGAATATACCCGAACTCAAAGATTTCCTACCGCCCCGGCGCACACTAGGCCGGCAGCGTGGCGCGTCGCCCTACCGGCCTAGTGTCCGCCGGTACACTCATTTCAATTTAATTGGTTCATTTCAATTTATTAGGTTTCGTGGTCCGCTTGACCAAATAAATTCTTTTCAATTAATTAATCTTTAATTAAGGTTTTGGTCGAGATAAAAAAGTCAGAGTCACAAGTTGGATTCGAACCCACGACCTTCGGCTATATACGCCGCTGCTCTACCACTTGAGGTATCGTGACTTCGATCCATCGGACACTAACTTCCCATCTCAACTTTTTTAATTTTCCCTTCTTTTTGCCATTTTTCATTGAATCCGCTGTGACACTGACTTTTTTATCTCGACCAAAACCTTAATTAGAGATTAATTAATTGAAAATAATTTATTTGGTCATGCGGACCACGAAACCCAATAATGTAATAAGCAAAATGAAGTACACTTCACTAAAAACTCTCCGTAGCCATTTCATTTGTCGCCGAGAATCAACTAGATTACACGAAATTTGAAAAATGGCAAAACGGAGGGAAAATTCAAAAATGTTGGTTTGAGATGGGAAGTTAGAGTCCGAGTGGATCGAAGTCACGATAGCTCAAGTGGCAGAACAGCGATGTATTTAGCCGAAGGTCGTGGGTTCGAATCCCACTTGTGACATTGACTTTTTTATCTCGACCAAAACCTTAATTATAGATTAATTAATTGAAAATTAATTTCAATGAAGTCTTCTAGGGGGTTGGTTCCGCGCCGCGCCACCGACCTAGTGTGCGCCAAGCTTAAAACCATCACTCAAACAAATTTGAAACTTAAAAATGATACAACTTAAAAAAATCAAACCACTGTAACGTTAGAAAGAACCTTTCCATAAATCCAACAAAAAAGAGATTGACTTATCAAAGATTTATTTACAAAATCCAATTGTAAATACAAGTAGGAGTTTTTGTCCGTTTTATTTACTTCTAATCCTTCAAATCAAGGATATTGTTGTAAGATAATCAATGGATGATTGTCTAAGAGATAATTACAAATATTTAGGGTGGTAACTCCTTTCCGTCTCAGTGTATATGGTAACTTTGGGTGTGTGCAAAATGAATCAATACCATCAGAAAGAAAATTCTATAAAATATCGTAGATGCTGCTTGGTATGTTCGCTATGTTTCCTACACAGAGATCTGAACATCCCACACATCGACACGGAGATCACATAGTATGCTTACAAGCACTCCTTCGTTTTCAAAACCAGCCGAACACCAAGCCCAGCCGCCTTCTACATAGTGAGTACACTGAAAGACGACTGAAGAGGACTAAGCCATATGAATTAGTTCTGTAGAAATTTACGACGTGAACTCAACCATGTAGATAAATTGTGACACTAATGAGTGGATTAAAGTGTATTTATTATTTAGTTAGCACTATATAGTCATTGTAAAATTATGTGATCTCATTTGACCAGTTTTAATAAATAACTGTATTAATAAATAAAAATTGTTGAAATATTAAGAAAGCCTGATAAAACAAGAAATGCTGTCCATTGATCGTATTGGGTGGCTGATTTCCATGTTTTCAAGTAAAAGTTTCAATTACTGAACCTGAAATTGAAGATTTTTTATGGAGATCCGTCGTAAACAAGAGATGTGCCGAGCCGAACGGAACAAAGTTGTATCCTTACGATTTGATTGAATTACAATCGGGGAAAAGGAAGGGATCCGAGTCCCGATTTTATTGTTGATTCGAAAATCGGATTTGCGCCGAGGAACGAGGGCCCCCTATCCGACGAAGGGCCGAGAACCCAGGTGTGTCGGCTATCGTAAATAGATGCCGGTGTCGGTAGCCGAAACATGATCATAATTTAGAGAAGGATGTGAATGTTGGTCCGCCGGGCCGGACGATGTGTTTATGTCTCCCTCCCGCCGGCTCTCTCCTTCGTTCCTCTCCTCTCCTCTCTCCTCCGGCCGGCGGCTACTGTGTACCCCTTTTGTCCGGTCCTATCCGAAAGGCTGACCTCCTAATACCACATATTTCCATCCCCCCTTTCGCCTCGATCCGAGGTTCGGTTCCAGTTCTGGAATTCGAAACTCACACGTGCTCCTCGGAGGTAGAGATTCTCAACACCATCATTCCGACGGACCACCTGAGGACTAAAGCGCTTCTGTTCTACCACCTAACATCTCATTAACATAACCGCTCTTATCGAGTTTTATACAATCCTTGGAACGTAACATCTTTTGTAATGTGTTACTCAGGTGTTAAATATTGTCGGACCGAGTTCCTTTCTCATTTCACTACTTTTTGCATGCAGTTTTCGATATACCAGACACCGCGAAAAAGACCCTGAACGATTTTCAAGGTTTGAACATTGGAAATCTGATGCAAAACCTGTACACCATCTTCCATCTGTAAGATTCTTAATAATTAAGGGTTCGTGATGAAGGGCGTGGCCTTTTTAACCCAACCAACAGCTCTGCTTAACAGAACCCACTTATTATAATACAACTAGCCTTTACTAACTTTGTCCTGTTGTTTCGGATTATTTCAGACGTACATTTAGAGTTCATTGTTCATCA